CAAACACAGAGCATTGTCTTCCGTCCATAGCGATTTGGCCTTGCAGTTGATATTGATGGTTCGCCTAGAGTTACCCATGATCTTTTACGCTTAGGATTCTCAAAACATATCCACTTTTCATCGCCAGTCACAATTCGATGGAGACTCTCTTTTGTACCTGGCAAGCAGCATTTCGCAAGTGGTTTTTCGGTTTTCCTGCCGTTTTTCATTCAGTTCATGTGGTACCCATTTTCCTATCATCTGGATCTTTCCCATGGCTTTCAAACGTATGGAGACGGCTTCTCATACATTTAATTGATCTGCGAGTTGCTATTGCGTTTGAGCGTCATCCTTATCCAACAATGCTTGCAATTCGTTGTCTTCAAACTTTTTCGGTGGTCTTCCACGTTTTCCGTTTCTCACGTCAAAATCACCACGTTCGAATTTTTTGAACCACTCAAAGCACTGTGATTTACCAAGAGCATGCTCACCGTAAGCTTCGACAAGCATTCGATGTGATTCTGCAGCAGTTTTCTTCAAATGATAACAGAAAATCAATGCTGTCCGCAAATCGTAGCATCCAGGCACAAAATTCGACATGTTCAACGCTATTACAAATGCTGTTGTACGAAACTTGTATTGTTGTGAGTTGAAAATCTCTGTCAAATGTCAACAAATGGAAATGGCGCCAATGACGCGGTTTGACGGTAACTACATTGACAGCTAGGGCCATTTATGGGCAAATTCCGGTTTCATATTTATAGACCTGGTAAAGCTGTCATGGACACTTCCAGGAAATCTAGCATTGACGTTTAAGATTTCCAAATCGTGTGACGTTATCTTATTATAAATAATACAAGTATACATTAAGTTCCTTTTTGAATTTGTATAGTATATTATATATTATATATTTTTGTAGTGAGTCTACTTACTGCCTGTACATTAATTGAATGGAAACCTTTTATGGTTTATATATTGTTGTGCCCGCGCGTGAAAGAAATAACTCGAGATATACTAAACGAGAAAAGCTTTATTTACAGCCTAGAAAAACGGATCTCAATCAATTCCAAAATAATCGCTCGAATTCGCTTTACGTCCGTACGCCGTGACAGGACTAGAGCGACTCTCGTATTATTCCAGTTGTTAGTAAACAAATTCCTTGACAACGATAACAGCTGTCAAACACTCTCTATATGCCTTCTTCACAGAGCGTCTTCTCCCAAGAGCGTGGGAACAATACTTTCCCCAAAGGTGTGGGCACAACAATATGATTCCTCGTGATGTTTTGGTCGCACAATAGCGACATGAGTGCAATCTATGTAACCTATTACTCTTTTAAAATTCCTTTCCTTTTGAAATCTGTAAAAATATATTGTACAAAACAATATTATAAGAAAATTATGAAAAAAATTATAATTCAGTGAATAGACAAATTTATTTAATATTATTTAAAGAAAGATTTGTAAAAAAATCACAACAGTTAAGTGCAATCATATATAAATTACTTCAATTTCCTGATATTATTATATTGTTTTCTTAAGAAAAATATAAATTGTCTACAATCAGAGTAAATTTTTAACGGTTTTTTATAATTGTAAAAGGATGTTACTTTTCTTTTAAAGCTGCTCGTTTTTCCTCTGTGTTTGGGAATTTGATCCACTCATTGGCAAGCAATTGCGTGATACCCATCGCTACTGCTTTTATTGCTCTGTTAGTTGCTGGTTGTGATATAGATGTCAAATAATCATTACCAATATCTTTTTGATAAGGACCTATAGTAAAAAAACGCAGTGCAGCTAAAACCTGTAAGTAGTTAGTAACACATAGTTTTTTATTATACAAATTTGAACAAAATCAGTTTACAGTCATGGACATCAATAAAGTTGTTCGTTATGTTTCCAATATAGTTCGGAACGCAGTTGATAGTCTAATAAGAGAACTTGTTTTGAGAACTTTTCAGCAAATAAGTTCTCTCGTTGAACCATCAATTGCGTTCCGAACTGTATCTAAATATAGCGGAAAACTTTAATGTCCGCATGTCTATTATGTATTTTAAAGTATTTTGTATATTAAAGTAGTTATATTAGAATTTACATAATTACCTATGTTTCTACACTTAATCCTCTCCTTCCTTTACGTTGCAAAATATTTTGAAGTGAGTCACATATAAATTACTGCTTCTTTTGATAAGCGGAAAACTCTTATAAATGTTCATCCGTTAAATTAAATGGATTAATACTATCTCTCAACTCTTTCATTATTAAAGAATTTTCCCTCTTTTCTTCCTCTTCCGCATCAGTTAGCATATTTATGAGTATTCCACCAGCCATTTTATTCACAATAAAAAATATTAATATTAACTTAACCTTGCAAGATTGCGTTATGATATTAACGTTCTCCGGCAGCCAGCGTTAGCATTACTTTACGTAACGCAAGAAAATGCGTTACAAATTGCGTTAAAGTGGTTTACAGAATACGGATTTATAGTGAAAAATAATATAACGCAAACTTAACGTTAATGTAACGCATATTGACGACGCCATACGTTAAGATGCATTTACAGAATACGAAATCGTGAAACATGTGTTACGAGCCATATAACGCATGCGTTAAAAAGTTTCAGAATAAGCCTGCTGGCCGTTAGCTCCCCCTCCCCGCGGAGCTCCTGCACCCTCCAATAGAGGATCCTCCTCTCTTCGGCGAGGAGCTCCACAGGGGAGAGGGATCGGCCAGGGTGGTCGCCGCCATGTAAGATATTGTACGGTATCCCCGAATCGCCCTGATCATGACTGGCCGCAAGGCTTGCCGCAGTGCGAGCCTTCCGCCGCGGCAGGCCAGCAGCTGGGGCGCCCATATGGGCGCCTCGTACAAGGCGATCGAGAGCGCCGCACTCATGTACAGGCGGCGAGCCCTCCAACCTGGGCCCCCTTGGGTACGCATGATACTGGCCACCGCCAGTCCAGCGTTGCGCACCCTGGGGGCCAACTGCCTGAAATGAGGCCCAAAGCTCCACCGGCTGTCCAACGTCAGGCCGAGATATTTCATTGTCGGCCCGAGGCGGATGTGGACGCCATCAACCAGGACCTGTGTCTCCGGTGGTGCCTCTCGACTGCCGTCGTGAAAAAACACGGCTTCAGTCTTCTAGGGCGCAACCTTGAGACTCAGGTCCCTGATGGTTCTCACCACCGATGCTAACACCGTTTCCGCGCGGAGGCGGGCTTACCCCCAGCTCTCCCCCCGGGCCACCACTAACGTGTCGTCCGCGTAACAGACGACGTGGCAGCCCAGGGGGAGCGGAGTGCGTAACATCCGGTCGAACGCGATGTCCCAAAGCCGAGGACCGACTTCTGCGGGGAACTGCGTTCCATAGCGCGCCGGCCTTGGACCCCACCCTCCATAGTGAAGACGAGGTCCCTGTCCCCGAAGTACGCCGAAAGGATCCGCCGGAGATAGACGGGCACCCGGTAATGCACCAGCGCCCGTCCGATCTCCGGCCAGCAGGCTTATTCTGAAACTTTTTAACGCATGCGTTATATGGCTCGTAACACATGTTTCATGATTTCGTATTCTGTAAATGCATCTTAACGTATGGGTCATCAATATGCGTTACATTAACGTTAAGTTTGCGTTATATTATTTTTCACTATAAATCCGTATTCTGTAAACCACTTTAACGCAATTTGTAACGCATTTTCTTGCGTTACGTAAAGTAATGCTAACGCTGGCTGCCGGAGAACGTTAATATCATAACGCAATCTTGCAAGGTTAAGTTAATATTAATATTTTTTATTGTGAATAAAATGGCTGGTGGAATACTCATAAATATGCTAACTGATGCGGAAGAGGAAGAAAAGAGGGAAAATTCTTTAATAATGAAAGAGTTGAGAGATAGTATTAATCCATTTAATTTAACGGATGAACATTTATAAGAGTTTTCCGCTTATCAAAAGAAGCAGTAATTTATATGTGACTCACTTCAAAATATTTTGCAACGTAAAGGAAGGAGAGGATTAAGTGTAGAAACATAGGTAATTATGTAAATTCTAATATAACTACTTTAATATACAAAATACTTTAAAATACATAATAGACATGCGGACATTAAAGTTTTCCGCTATATTTAGATACAGTTCGGAACGCAATTGATGGTTCAACGAGAGAACTTATTTGCTGAAAAGTTCTCAAAACAAGTTCTCTTATTAGACTATCAACTGCGTTCCGAACTATATTGGAAACATAACGAACAACTTTATTGATGTCCATGACTGTAAACTGATTTTGTTCAAATTTGTATAATAAAAAACTATGTGTTACTAACTACTTACAGGTTTTAGCTGCACTGCGTTTTTTTACTATAGGTCCTTATCAAAAAGATATTGGTAATGATTATTTGACATCTATATCACAACCAGCAACTAACAGAGCAATAAAAGCAGTAGCGATGGGTATCACGCAATTGCTTGCCAATGAGTGAATCAAATTCCCAAACACAGAGGAAAAACGAGCAGCTTTAAAAGAAAAGTAACATCCTTTTACAATTATAAAAAACCGTTAAAAATTTACTCTGATTGTAGACAATTTATATTTTTCTTAAGAAAACAATATAATAATATCAGGAAATTGAAGTAATTTATATATGATTGCACTTAACTGTTGTGATTTTTTTACAAATCTTTCTTTAAATAATATTAAATAAATTTGTCTATTCACTGAATTATAATTTTTTTCATAATTTTCTTATAATATTGTTTTGTACAATATATTTTTACAGATTTCAAAAGGAAAGGAATTTTAAAGGAGTAATAGGTTACATAGATTGCACTCATGTCGCTATTGTGAGACCAAAACATCACGAGGAATCATATATAAACCATAAAAGGTTTCCATTCAATTAATGTACAGGCAGTAAGTAGACTCACTACAAAAATATATAATATATAATATACTATACAAATTCAAAAAGGAACTTAATGCATACTTGTATTATTTATAATAAGATAACGTCACACGATTTGGAAATCTTAAACGTCAATGCTAGATTTCCTGGAGGTGTCCATGATAGCTTTATATGGAGACATTCTACCATAAGGGACGAAATGCAACGATTATATGATTCTGGGGATCGAACAACATGGCTTTTGGGTAAGTATCATGATTATTTTATATTTATTTACCTAATAATGTATATAAAAGTGTTTATTTGATTATAGGCGATGCAGGTTACGGTTTGGAACCTTGGCTGATGACACCTATCACAGATACACCAGAGCTACAAGATGCACAAGACAACGTTATACTAACATTATAAAAAAATAGCATTTTAATAATAAAGAAAACAATGTGAGGAAATAATACTTTAATTATGAAAGAATTATACAATAAAACTTACTTTTCTCCAACCTTCTGTACCTTTTGATGAGCCGTCTAAGCTATTTAACTGTTCAGTTAATTGCTGCCATTGTAAGTCGTGAGCTGGCTTTCCTCTTGCTCCTAATAATTTGCCTGTGGCAAACGCAGTATGGTTTTCCATATATGTAATAAGGAAATCTAATTGCTTGTTTGTTGTTTTAGGGGCTCTTTTCTTGTTCTGTGCAACTTCCATACTGTAAGAACATATTGTTCATTAGTTAAATCAGTTATGTACCTATCCCTTTCGTACATTGCGTAAAAACAAGTTAATTATTCACTACAATTTGTCCGACCCCCGGAGGCCCGGGCGCGAAACGAACAAGGCTGTCCGCCCCTGCTTGTCTGAACTGATGGGCAAGAGGGGATGTGGTATGTCCTTCCGTCTGGTGCAGGTGCTGACCGTGCACGGCTGCTTTGGTCGGCACCTGCAAATGATCAGGAAGGAGTCCACCACTCGATGCCATCACTGCCCTGTGCTGATGGACACGGCGCATCACACCCTGGCTGCATGCCCAGGGAGTGGCAACCCAATTGGGGCTGGGCCCACTCCCCAAGAATCCCCCCTCGATTAGACAAGGGGGGATACGGATGCCCCCTCCTCCTCCTTATAGGTGAAACCAGAAGGCCAACCGGCCAGGAAACTGGCCGGGTACCGCGCCCCCCCACTAATTTTCCTCGGTGAGGGGAGGGGGGTGCGGTACGATAGGCGAGGGGCTCCCGGAGAGCCCTGAGGCCGGAGTGTTGGGGAGAGAATGCGGAAGCAGTTCCCCTAACTCCCCTCACAACGGTCCGACAGGTAGGCATCCCGCAAGGGTTTCAGTCGGTAGGAGTCCGACATAACCCCCGACCCCCCCAAGGGTCGGGGGTATCCATGATGGATTTCCCCTGCATGAACAAAAAAAAGTTCATGGTGAGTTTCATGGTTTCACTATGAAAAAAGGAGGGCGTACTGGGTGGCGACGGGACGCCGTGCGTTCGGAACCTGCATCTTATTTTTGTTCCGAAGAGAGAGAAATATCGAGAGCGCGGTAGTCGCTAGACCGGGAATCGAACCCGGGTCTTTCGCTTGCCGGGCGACTGCTCTAGACCACTGAGCTATCTGACGCTCCACGCTTACGACACTCTCCCCTCCCCAGATAACGTTGAGAGATGTCGTTCGGAAGCGACATCTCTAGTGCTATCCCGAGCGCACGGCGACTACAGAGAGAGGCATTGTTACTTGTACCTAGTGGTACAAGCTGGTGGTCTCTCAAAGTCAAAGGTTGCTATCCTTTAAGACCTGCTGTCCATATATGCCCGCCTCCACCGTTGCACCTCCTTATCCGGTGCAAATCATAGAAATAAGCCCCGGGGTCGACGCCAAATTTTGGCTGCCTCCGGGCGTTCGGACGTTTTTGCAACGCGCTGAATGAGAATCCACCATGAAAGAAGGAGGGCGTATTAGGTAGCAACGGGACGCCGTGCGTACGGTACCTGCATCTTATTTCCGGAAAGAGAAAAATGTCGAGAGCGTGGTAGGCGCTAAATTAGGAATCGAACCCGGGTCTTAACGGGGGAACTACGCCTGTATTCCTCGATCCTCATGGATACCTTCGCCTCTTGGGGGAGGCGAGGGTTATGCCAGACTCTTACCAGCTAAAATCTCACCGGGATGCCTTCCACTGGATCATACAGGACAGCCGGAGGAACCGTGTGAGTCTCCAGCGTCTCACAGGTCTCCAGCTACCCTGACACATGGCCCATTAGGGCCCTTCGCTTAGCGCCGCGCCGCGTACCACGCCACGCGGCGCCCGGTCGGGACAAAGCCCGGTCATTACTTAGTGCCGGCCGGCCCAAAACTGGACCAACCGGCACGAGGGAGGGGGGCATCTGCCATTCTCCCTCTCCCACCTCGATATTAAAGGTGGGGTTTGGAAGAACAGAACCCGGCCCCAATCGGGCTACCCTGTTCCCCCCGATCCCCCTCAAACTAGTGGGTGCCTAGTCGCCCGCATGGTCTGCGATGGGGAGGCCGAGGCCTCCCCCCGCAGCCGCCAGCGGCCCCGCCTTGGAGCGCTCTCCCGCGCTCACCGCCTTCCTGGCGGCTCCCACCCCCTGGTCCGGAGGACGGTACTTACGTGTACCCTGCGCCGCCTGTTGTCTCTGGCCTGGCGCGCCGTCATCCCGCAGACCGGACCGGCCATACGGTGGTCGGCGGCGCGCCCTGCCTCCTGGCACACCGCGCAGCGCGGACGTTCCGCACATTGCTGCACGGTGTGCCCCGGCCGCACCGGAAGCACAGGCCTCTCCTGTCGATCGACAAGAAACAACCAGTGCAGGTGTGACCGAGACTCTAACATCGGAAGCACTGGAGTGGCCGAGCCGCGAGCATCTCGATGTGGATGGCCGACCACAAGCGAAAATCTCCCTCTTTGACAGCTACTGCGGCTGCCAACGGGAGCCGCGCCCAAGTGGCCCTTCTCCCCTCCCCCCGCATTTCAGGGGCCCCAGATAGATGGCCCCTTCCGCGCAAGCCGCGAGGGTCGCCTTCAACACTTCAGAGGAGACCGACTCGTCGAATCCGACGAGCCGAACCTCCTCCTTCAACTCGGAGCGACTTACCGCCGCCTCAGGTAGAGAGGCCCGTAGCCTCTCTGCCAATTTGTCGGCCTTCTCTCCCTTGGAGCTGGGGTCCTTCACGCGGACGAGGAGGGCGCCATCTGCACTCCTTCCTACGTCCAGGCTCGGGACCCTCAGTAAAAAAGGGGACGCTTTTGGTCTTCTTCTCCACCCGACAGACGGATCTCCGGCACACCTCGCGATGCTGTCATCGGGGTGGGATCCTGATGTACAATAACCTTTGCTTGACAGATCAGTGAACATGCTCCTGCGCGTTCACCGTTGCCGACTATCCCCAACCTCTGCACACCAGAGCGCACCAGCAGAGAGCCTCTGCTCCCCCCTCCGAAAGAATTACCGGCTGCGTTGACCCAAAGTTACCGACCATCGGGTGTTGCGAATACAGAAGACTGGACTCCAGCCCGCACCCAACCGTTACGCCACATGAGTCGCCCGAAGGCATAGCAGCCAGGCAATAGATCGACGCAGGGTCACGAACCGAAGGCGCCCCAGCCAGGCCATAAGGCGCAGCAGCCGCGGCCTGAGCACGCAGACCACACCACATCGCACGCAGCTTGGGGGCCCATCGCCGCAGCCCATACACGCCAAGCCACAACCCAGCCGGCTCACCAATGAGGGTGAAACTGGGATACCGACGAGTACACACCTGAGTTGCCTTAGGAAATTGCTCACCGGGCACCCAGAAAAACCCTCCTTCAGAGGTGAGCTGGTTCATTCGGTGCGCACATCCTCTCAGGCACTGAAGCGAGAACAGTCCCAGTCGTCACCGCCACAGCCCCATCCATTCAAGGATGCAATACCATCACTAGCCCCCCTCCGGAATATCCCCCTCCCCCTACACACACATGCATATCAGATGGAAACTCTATCCCCCACCCTTGAGGAGCCCGTCCCGAAAACTCCGGAGGGCACCCCCAGTCACACCACCGAATGGGTCTCCCTGAATCAAGGGGCATTGGCCTGACGGATCAGGGAGTGCAAAACACCCCCCGTTACCGACTATCCGCAACCCTCGGAAACCGAGAGATGATCCACTCGCCGATGAGGCCAGGGATCCACAGAAGCCGAGACACACTCCACCGGGTGTTGTCTCGTTAGTCGCTCTCGTGTGAAGGAATTAGACCACACGAGTTCGACTGTGAGGACTCCATATAATAGTCCATATAATAGTCGGCTGCCTCACTAGGCTAACGAGTCCGACCTCCCGGGTTTTTAGATTGGGTTCTTCCTTCCCCTCAGTTCAGATGCCTGGCACCGCCAGGCTAATGAGCCGAATCGCCCGAGTTTGATATCGTGAGTACCTTCTCTGATCAGGTCGCCCGAAGACTAACGAGTCCACTAGCCCGGGTTTATTAATCAGAGTTCTTCCTTCCCCTAGTGTCAGATGCTTGTCATCAAGCTAACGAGCCCGCACGCCCGGATTTGGTGTCGTGAGTTTTCTTCTCCAGTTAGGATTTTCGAAGAATAACGAGTCCATTAACCCGGGTTTATACCAGGTTTTTCTTCCCTATCCCCCTCCTTGGCCCCCTGGTCCCCCTAGTTATGTTTTAATGACCGTTACCTTGCCCTGGGCCTCCCGCGGCAAACAGGCCGACAGTACTGCCTCAGAGGTCATTGGAAACGACCGAGCTCCTCCACCACGGCAAGACGACATCTATGGAGGAGACTAGGCGTATGTCTTAGCCTCCACGGCTATCGCGCTTCATGTTTACTGATTCCATGTTACTACATTTAACATGTAGCTATTTTTTTAATTGCAAATTTCTCGCAAACGAAGGCCCATGCATGCAAACCCTTTTAGGGTTTACTCAACTCCCCCCCCATTCGAATGAAATATGACTCATTCAATTATCGATTTTACTTATCTTGCCATCTCCTTGTGAGAATCTCTGTGTGTGTCTGAGTAGACAGAAAACGCCAGCACAAGCTTAAAATCATATAATTGGTTTTAAGTAACGCAAATTGCTGAAAATATTGACATCTTTTCATTTTCTGTAAAAGCTGTACATTACAAATCAACGGAAAAGAAATAACACAATATCTGTCTACAGCGCGGCGCTCATAGCACGACGATATCATCTCGTTTTTCTAAAAATTAATTATGACCATATTGTATTATTATATATGGATAGATTCGGCATCAAATGCTCTTTAACTTTCATCCTCATAAAATTTTTTAATGTTGCAAAATTAATGGGTAAGGCAGGGGAAGGTTGAAAATTTTGACACTTTTGGAAAATCTGAATATACCGTTGTAAACAGTATAAAATATTGTAAAACTTTTATAGGAAACATTTTTTTATATACCTCATACTTTAGAAGATATTCGCAAAAAAATGTAATTTTGGTTTATTTCGAGAAGTTGTTTCACTCCTTAAACCTTGATACGCACATAAAAAATACGTGTTTAAGGGGTTATACCTGGTCAGCAAAAAAAACGTATTTTTTGGGAATTAAAAAAAACTTAGGTATTTTTATTTCATTGAATCTCTTTTTTTTGGTGACGCAGGGGAAATCCATCATGGATACCCTCGACCCTTAGGGGGGTCGGGGGTTATGTCGGACTCCTACCGACTAAAACCCCTGCGGGATGCCTACCTGTCGGACCGGTAATGTGGGGAGTCAGGGGAACT